TTTGGACGACTATGATAGACTTTCTCCAACTTATAAGTATGATTTCTTTATCAATACGATTTCCAATGCAGTCAAAAATAGTACACCTAGTAGAGATAAGGGAACATTACATGCTAGACGTCATAGGAGGAACCCAGTTTCATGGTGGGATAACGAATGTAACGAGCTCAAAAGACAACGTAGAGCAGCTTATAGGAAATGGGAAAGGTCAAGCGACTTGGTTGATCTGATCGACTATAAAAGAACTTCAGCATTGGTAATCAAAACATTTAAGAAAAAGAAAAAAGATTGCTTTAGGTCATTTGCTGAATCTATTAACTTTCATACTAATCCAAGCTATGTTTGGAAAAAATGCAAAATTTTTAAAAACAAATGGACTAAGGTCTATCATTCTCATTGCAATGAAAATCTGCAGACATCTGACCTGACTCTAGCTGCTCTAAATAAAATCAGTCCTCCGTGGGTACCAACCGACCCGCTTGCTCTTCCAGACTGTTCGCTAAACGAATTCCTTGACTCCTCCTTCAACTTTGTTGAATTTAATGCAGCCCTTGATATAAAAAATGCTAAATCAGCTCCTGGTATGGATGGCATAGATTTTGAAATCTTACAAAGGCTGCCCTCCAAATATAAATTATTATTACTGGACATCTTCAACTATATGTATTGTTGCAATGAGTTTCCTCCTAACTGGAAATCCTCCTTTATCCACTTTATTAAAAAGTCTGATGGCATAAGCTTTCGGCCCATTTCTCTAACATCATGCGTTAGCAAATTATTTGAAACTCTTGTAAAAAATAGATTACAGTATTGGGCGGAAATAAATAACTGGTTGCCTGCCTGTCAACACGGCTTTCGAAAGGGCAACTCATGCATTGACAATCTGACTAACCTAACTCTTAAAGTAGAGGAATCCTTCAGTGAACGTAAAGAGGTTCTAGCTGCCTTCTTAGACATAGAGGGAGCATTTGATAACGTTAATGTTAATATTATGTTACACCAACTGGCGTCCTTGGGCTGTTCTGCTAATTTAATCAAATTTATAAATTTTCTTTTGAGAGAACGAACCATTTATACTGCTCAATCGTACGAGATACCAAGATTGGTTCATAAAGGAGTTCCTCAGGGAGGAGTTCTTAGTCCACTTCTGTTCGCTCTCTATACTGCGAAGGTAACAGATGGCTTACCAAAATCATTAAATGTTTCCTTATTTGCTGATGATATTGCTCTATATATTAAATTCTCTTCCCTGAAAAGAGCAAAAATAATTTTGGAGAAGGCGATTAATGTTGTTAGTTCCAATCTGCTCAGTATTGGTCTTGTTCTCACACCAAATAAAACGGGCCTACTTCATTTTAATAATAAAAGAATCCCATTCGACAGTGTGCAATTAAAGGTTGAAGGCTGCATTGTGAAATCAGTTAAATATGTTAGATTTCTGGGTATCATATTTGACAATCGATTGACTTTCGGACCACACGTAGATCATATTTACAATAAATGTATAAAATCACTAAACATGATAAAATTCTTGTGTGGAACGTGGTGGGGATCAGATCCCTTGACTTTACTAATAATATACAAAAGCTTCATTCGCTCTATTATAGACTATGGATGCTTTCTTTACTGGCCAATAACGGTATCTCTTAGAAATAAATTAGAAAAAATTCAAAATTCTGCTGTTAGAATTGCACTGGGGTATCGTAGAAGCACTCCTCTCAATGTAATGATAGCAGAATCCAAGTTGATGCTTCTATCAGACAGGTCAACTTTTCTATGTGAACGTTACCTTGCCAAAATTGTTTCAATCAAAGGTTCCAAAATTTTTAATGCTGTCACTAGGTACTTTCATCACCCAAAAAGGAAAAACTCTAGATTCAAAAACAAAATTCTTGACATATGCATTGACTGTCTTCCTGAGTTAAAAGATAAAATCATCTCTAATAATAAATACAATTTATATTGCCATGATTTCAATACATTGATGACATCCGTCCCAATTAACACAACTCTGGGTTTTGAGCTTAAAGATTCAGGTGATCCTAATCTTCAAATTAAAAAAATCATAATAGACAATGGTGCCACGGCCTTATTTACTGATGGCAGTAAAATCGCAAATGCTGATTATGTTGGGTATTCTTGTCTTTGTTACGATCTAAACATTCGTCTCAAAAAAGTATCGACAGAAACGCGTCGATTTTTACAGCGGAATGCTTGGCCCTGTGTGACGCTATGGATATTGCACTTCAGCATAGAAATCGCTCCTTCGTTATTTTTACTGATTCTTTGAGTGCCTTACTTAGTTTAGAGTCCACTAGCCTTAAAATCACATCTAATCCGTTCATTCTTGAATTTAAAAAGAAGTATGTAAAATTCTGTCAGGATAACTCACACTCCATTAAATGTTTTTGGATCCCTTCACATATAGGAGTGTTTGGAAATGAAGATGCTGACTCCCTTGCAAAAGCTGCCACATCTTCTAATTCTGCGGACATCTCTCAAGTTCCTTTCACCGATTTTACTTGTCATCTTAAACTAAAAGGTATTCTTAATACTCGATCCACAATTACTGAGCAAGGCACCTTCAAGGGTGTTCACTATTTTCAAAATTTCTTCAAACCAAATCCAACTCCCTGGTTTGCTCAAAATTTTAAGGCCCACATTAAAAGGGGTTTTATAACCACAGTAAACCGTATCAGGGCCAATCATTATAATCTCGCTGCCTCCCTGTATCGAATAAACATTGTCAGTGATCCTAGTTGTAAGTGTGGTTATATATCCGAGGACTTGGACCATGTTTTGTGGCAGTGTCGTCTTTATGACTCGCAAAGAATTAAATTAGTTAATAAGTTGCGTAAAATTAAGTTTTTTCTACCATTAAAAGCGGACATTTTCTTTGCTAAACCTAATGTTAAAGCCTGTGAATATATTTTTCAGTTTTTATGCGACTGCAATCTTCAAATCTAGAGACTACCAATTCTTTCATTGTACAATAACTGTAAGACTACTGTAACAACAAAATTGTTAAAGCCGAAATAAACCTATAATAGGTTTCAGTGGCTCAATAAAAAAAAAAAAAAAAAAATATTAGAAACAAACACTTTCGAGCAAGTTCTTTCCTTCAAGCAGTCACAAGACCTGAAAATTCGAGAATTAAGACAAAAACTAGAATGTGTGGAGGACAAATATTATGAATTACGTGACGGTTTAGTGTATAAAAAACTAGGTAATAACAAATTGTTATTCTTGGTACCGGAAAGTATGGAAACTAACGTTATTCGAGCTTCCCATGACGATTTAGGTCATTTTGGTGTTGATAAGGTGGTAGAAAATATTTCTAGAATATATTGGTTCCCAGATATGAGAAAAAAGGTCAAAGATCATATAGGAAATTGTTTAAAATGCATTGAGTTTTCAAATCCTAGTGGAAAGTCTGAAGGATATTTACATAGTCTCGATAAAGATAATCTACCGTTCCAGACTATACATATCGATCATTATGGCCCTTTAGAACGTTGCGGTCGAGGATATAAACATATTTTATGTATAGTTGACGGTTTCACTAAATATATCAGGTTATATCCGTGTAAATCCACCAAATCGGAAGAGACCATTCGTCATTTAAGGGAATACTTCCGGTATTATAGTAAACCGAAACGTTTGGTAAGCGATCGAGGAACATGTTTCACTTCAGGATTATTCAGGGATTTTATGCAGGATGAAAGTATAGAACATGTTCGGGTTGCTATTGGAACACCTCGGGCTAATGGTCAAGTGGAACGATACAATCGTATTATTAATCCTATGTTAGCAAAATTAAGTACAAGTCCGGGAAAATGGGATCGAGTACTAGAGCTCGTAGAATTTTCAATAAATAACACTGTTTGTCGTTCAACAAATGAAACTCCATGTAAACTGCTTTTTGGAAGGAACCAGTTCGGAATAATAAACGATAAGTTACGAGTAATTCTTGAAGCACAGAGTGAGGAGGAAAGAGACCTGGTGGCGATACGTAATGCAGCTACACAAGCTATTCAAAAAAATCAACGAATGAATGAGCAAATTTATAATCGTACACACAAAAAAGCAACTATATACAAAACTGGTGATTATGTTATGATAAGAAATCGTGATGTTACACCCGGTATCAATAAAAAGCTGATCCCGAAATTCCGAGGCCCATATGAAGTAAAAAAGGTTTTAGATAAAGATAGGTACGTTGTGGAAGACATTGATGGATTTCAACTGACAAGGGTTCCATTTTCAGGAATCGTTGGACCAGACCAGATGAAATCATGGATTCGTCTTTAGACTAAATAGTTAGAATCAGTTAGCTAGTTATATAAGTTTACATGTCATTAACTATATCTTATTAATTGTATAAGTTTATATTTTTATGTCAGCTTAAGCATTTTATGTTAATATTATAGATAGCACGATATAATTAATTCTAAGATAAAGGTAAAACTGTACGTATGCATACATGATTGAGGACAATCACAATTGTCAGGATTGGCCGAGTTGTAAGCAATCGTTGGGGCGACCGTCGCAGTTGGGCGACGCGACGGATGTTTAGGTTATAAGATAAGAGGTGTCGATTCCGAAAAGGGAGGAGAGCGGAACGATCCCGAGGAGAAACGAGCGTTCTGCAGGCAGTCAAATAAAACCTCTTAAGAAAGAAGCATCTGACCGCCCTTTAGTTTTCTTCACCCTTTTGTCCGCTATAATACGAAATTTATTTAAATGAAAATTTTGCCCATCTCTGCTCTCAGCCCTTATTTCCACTTGCGACTAACAATGTGTGTCGTGCGGCTACAAACTCTTTTGTTTGAACCGCGCGGAACCGGCAGTCGCGGAACCGGCAGTCGCGGAACCGTCAGTCACGGAACCGTCAGTCGCGTGCCATATACGCCAGAGGATATTGTAGTTTCGCGACTAATCGCAAGTGGAAATAAGGCCTCACAAATAATGGATAAGGATAAGAAACCGAAGAGTGGATTATGAAGAGGAAAGAGAAAGAGAAATGGAAGATGGAAGAGGCAGCGATAGATCCAAGACAAGCAAAAGTCCGAAAATTCTTTCAAAGTAGTTCTGTTATCTCTACTAAAAACCAAAATGAAGATAGTGCCGAATGTGAAGATGCGACTGTAAATGAAGCAACCAATCAACCTGTGATCAGTCAAGGCGAATCTACGATTCATAATGAACCTGTCATTGCAACGTCCAGTGGAACAGGCTACGTTGCAGAAAAGTTTAATGAAAGTGACCCCGTAAATTCTACGTCTATGAATATATCAAACGAAAAGGTATATCGACCAGCAACAACATCTGTGCTTCCTACTGGATCAACACCAAAAATTTTTGAATTTGAGAATGATAAAGGTCTTTATGATAATGCTAGTGGGATTTCTTTGAATGTGGATCAAATCAGAGCTCTTTTGTTGACAGGCCCTTGCCAGCCTAGAGAATGTGATATGCCTGGCGGGGAATTCAAACAATCGAGTGACAAACGTCGATTCAACTCTTCATTTTATTATAAGAACAAAAAAATGCCTTCATGGAAGATAACTACAGTCCCTGGTTATCTTATTCACCAACAAAAAATTATGCTTATTGTCACTACTGTTGGTTATTTGGCGATGAAACTGCGAAAAAAAGCATTTGGTACGTTGGTTTCACAGACTGGAAACATTGTCATCAATCGGTCAAACAACATAGTTTAAGTAAAGCCCATCTCAGCAATGCAGTCGCTGCTGCAACATTTCTCCAGAAAAATGATATTCGTCATAAACTCGAACAACAAATAAGCGAAGAAGCTAAGAAATGGCGCGCAATTTTGAATATACTTTTTGACACTGTGAAAACTTTATCTGGTTTGGGCGTTGGTTTTCGTGGTCACCGTGAAAATTTACAAAAGGTTGAGCATCCCGGTATTTATTTGAGTATCATTAAATTGATTTCTCGCCATAATCCTATTCTACATGCGCATCTTGAATCACCAGAACGAATCAAATATTTAAGTAAAACAATAACATATGAGTTACTCAGTACTGTGGGATTTAGTATTAAAAGGATGCGGTGATACAAGAAATTCTATTCCGTCGGTAAACGATATAATTTAAACTATTTATTACTCTGTGCTACACTCTTGACAAGACTCTGTCTGTCTCTCGTCAGCTGTCCCCTCTATGCTATTGACGCGTTGCCCGGGGTTATCGCACCTTCCGCTCTCTCACTCACTCATTCACTCTCTCTCTCTCACTCTTATCCTCGCGATCGTTCACTCGTCATTTGGCCAGTATTTTGAAGACGCGACGCTCGCCTTTGTTATTGCCGGGCCGTCGCGCAACCGTCTTACAAAAACGTGTAAAAACATTTGTCGACTCTATTAAAAGAGTTCAAGCGCCGATCAGCCGCGATGATTATTTTATGATTATTTTACTCCTACAGTACATTAGCTGATCAAACCAGAAAGTTTATTGTTGATGAATGTAAAGGTGCCAAATTTTTCACGTTAATCGCTGACTCAACGACCGATATTGCTCACTTGGACCACATGGCTATTTTGTTACGATACATTGTTATTCAGAATGAAGGTTCAACTGCGTCTGCAATATGTATCAAAGAGAGTTTTTTGTGCTTCGTTCAACTGACAAAAGGGGATGCTACATCTATTTGCAATATTATAACCGCCATATTGTTTGATAAATATGGTTTCCAGAAGAAGTATTTGTCTGGTCAGGCCTATGACGGTGCAGCGGTAATGTCAGGACGTGAAGGTGGTTTGCAAGCGAAAATGAAGGAATATGTCGGCGATGAGACATTTGTTCCGTATATTCACTGTATCAATCATCAAGTAAATTTGGTTTTGGTGCATGCTGCGGAAGAAGTTGCGAGTTCTTCGATTAAAGTGTTTTTTGCGATAATCCAAAGAATTTACAGTACTTTGCGCATTCTCACAGACGATGGGATGAACTTTTAGAAGCAAGCAAAAATCCATCACGGAACTCCAACAGTTTTGGCATTCAGCTTTTAAAAGACCTTAAAAAAGAGATCTTCGAATCCGATGCAGACACAGAAGACGGATTATCATACGATGAAGCTCACAAATCACGCGAACGAGTACTCCACATTAAAGGTTTAAGTACAACCCGTTGGGCTGCACGTATAAAAGCTATGGAAGCATTCATCCAAAATTTCGAGTGCATCGTGGATTGTCTGGAGAAGGAAATTTCAAGGGACGCAGCTACCGGCGATGACATAATGACTGCTCAATCATTGCTTTCTTCATTAAATTGGTTATTTTTTCTGAATTTGTTATGGTGGCATTCTGTGCTTGAAATAATCAGTGTTGCGCAAATTCAACTGCAGAAGAAAGAATTAAACTTGATAACGGCGCAGCATTGCACTTCAGCAGCATTGAAGAAAATGAGAGATTTAAGGGATGAAAGCGCCTACAATAATTTCATCACAAAAGCGAGAAGTCAGTGGGGAAAAATGAGCTTGGAACGTGCTGATTTTCCAGTTGCAAGAATACGGAAAATTAAGAAAATGCCTGGTGAAAATAGCGTTGACTGTGTTTTAGAGACGCCTGACAAGCATCGAGCCAGTTATTACGAAGTTCTCGATACAATGTGTTGCGAATTACAGGATCGTGCAAATGGTTTCAAAGAGATTAATAACATTTTTGGTTTTTTAATGCCTGAAATACTGCACAGCATGAAACCAAGTGATTTTGAGACCAGCACAAGTATTTTGTTAGAGAAATATACTGATTTCTTTACAACTGATCTCAAACATGAATTGTCCAGTTTCGCTGATTTGTATTTCGCGCAACAGCATGATTCTTCAAATGACAGTCCTTTGCAGTATTTGGGATTTATTGTGAAACATAATTTGATGGACAGCTTTCCAGAGTATTGTAGTCTGTTCAGATTGTACCTAACATTACCAGTTACCACAGCGAGCGCCGAAAGGGGCATGAGCTCTTTGAAACGAATCAAAGAATATCGCCGTGCCACTCTAGCTGAGGAAACCCTTAATGACTTCAGTATGCTTTATATCGAAAAAGCAGTTGCGAATAAAATTGATTTGTATTCGACAATCGAAATATTTGCTGAACAGAAAGCAAGGCGAGGATTTAAAACTACATAATAAGTATCATGTATAAACATGTATAAAACTACATAGTAATATAATTACATCTGTACTACTACACTTAACCCGTTTTTAGTAAACTATTTCTTCATTTTTCCCGAAAAATAGGCCCCTCAGGACGTTTGCCACCTGGGCCTTTTTCCTTAAATCCGCCACTGGCAAAGATCTTAGCACGGATAAAGATTCGAAAACTCTCGGTGTGCAATGGTCATCCGCAAGGGACGTACTTAGGTTTACGGTTAGGTCAACTCGGGAGAAACGCGTGACAAAGCGATTCATATTGTCAGAGATTGCGCAAATATTTGATCCCTTAAGATTAATTGGGCCAATAATTAGGAGAGCAAAGTTAATCATGCAGAAATTATGGCAAATCCAGGCAGGTTGGGATGAAGCAGTTCCACAAGAACTACACACCCAATGGTTAGAATATCGATGCGAAATACATAAATTAACCGAATTAAGCATTCCGTGTTGGGTAGCAATTGAGAATTTTACAAGGGCAGAGTTACACGAGTTTTCAGACGCTTCGGAAAAGGCGTACGGGGCCTGCGTATATTTACGGTCAAGTGGCGCTTCAGGTCAGGGAAGTAAAGCTCATTTGTGCCAAATCAAGGGTCGCGCCTCTACGGGCTACCAGCCTTCCACGGTTGGAGTTATGTGGGGCACTTTTATTGGCCCAATTAATGCATAAGGTGAAACACGCACTGACTGTTCCGATTAACGAAATAGAGTATTGGTCGTACTCTACTATTTCGATTTCATGGATTGAAAGTCCTTCGGGTAGGTGGAAAACGTTCGTGGCGAATAGAGTAGCAGAGATCCAGGAACTAACGAATGGTTCTAACTGGAGCCATGTAAATTCCCACGATAATCCCGCAGACCTCATTTCGCGTGGGATAGATTCCACAACATTAGCCAACAATAATCTGTGATGGTCAGGTCCTACTTGGTTTTCAAGGGATCGAGAACATTGGTCTCCGTCAATAATCGAGTCATTTGATATACCGGAGGAGAGGGGGGTAAAGCAGGTTTGCACTGCATCAGTAAGGAATACCTTTGATATATTTAATAGATTTTCTCAGTCCCGTGTTGACACTCGTGCTAGTAGGACGCTTGCTCTGTTTCGCGTGTTCCTGGCTAAACGAAGTATTTACTATGGTGATTTCGAATTCGTTCAAGTCGCATTCCAGTACGCTGGGTGCGACATTTATATCTTCCTGGTCGAAAGATAAATTCCTGAGTACAGGAATTTCTCTCTCAAAAAATGGATAAAGCTAACGCTCCTCAAGATGGGACTCCTCAAGAAGCTACATACGCCAGTGTCATCCAGAAAGATAACTTCCCCACAAAGGAACATGCTATTGTGCTGGACGCATACGAAGATATTACCATAAAAGACTACATATTCGGAGTGGGGAAAGTTATAAACCCGGTTAATATTCGATTTGCTTCAAGGATCGCTAACAATAGAGTATGTATATATCTTGCGGACAAATCTCTTGTTGACAAACTCGCGTCGGGCAACGCAAACATATTTATCAAAGATCGGTTACTCTCTGTTAGACCTCTAATTATGAAAACAAAACGGGTAATTCTTTCAAACGTGTGCCCCATCATTCCGCACGCTGTATTATTGAACATTTTCAAGCAAATGGGAATCAGAACCGTATCACCCATTTCCTTCGTAAAAGTAGGATTCACTGAAGCTGGATTCACACACATTCTCAGCTTCCGCAGACAGGTATACGTTCATCCGGATGACGTAAACAAGTTACCGGAGAATTTGCAAGTAAGCTATGATAATACTTCTTACTGGGTATACATCTCTACAGACAATTTGAAGTGTTTTCAATGCAAGAAGGAAGGGCATCTGGCGAAACATTGTCCTAACTCTACTTCAGATTCACCTCAACAAATAGGTAGCTCTTCCTTATCGGCCCATGTGCTTAACTCGAACAAAGAAGTTTCATTTCCTCCTTTGAGTGACGAGAAACAACCGGGTCCAGTCGAGGGATACAGAGACTCTTCTCAAAACAGAATCTCCATTAAAAGACCACTTTCCACAAGTTCTAGCAGTACCACAAATGCTGGATCTGAGACTGTAGATAAAATTCAATTGCCTATTCCATCGGATGCTAATTCCCCCACAGACAGGCAGACTTCATCTTTTGTGGCTCCCACCTCAACAAAGCGTCTTGTTTCTCCATATAAAAGGCAGAAGAAAAGTTTAGCTCCGACGAAACAGGTTGAGTCTGAAACAATAGAGCTCGCACTAGAAGCAGTTAAGCAAATCTTCACTCAAAGTCCGGATGAGCATGTTATAAAGTACGAACAGTACAAGGAGTTAATACTTAAAGCCAAACGGAATCCGGACATTGTGCAGCTGGCACAATCTTATACGGACAACCTCTCCTCGCTAGCAAAAATGTTGCGTGAAACTTACCCCAGCATATCAAGTAGATCCGTCAAAAATAGAGTCTCGCGAATTATTAAAAAACTGGAACTGCATGGTAGCTGGACTGAAGAAAAGGACGAGGAAGAACCTATCTCATCTCAGGACTCAGAATCTGACACCGATTGCTCCTTTTCATCAGAGGATGGCATTTCCATCAATCCTCACATCCAACTCTAATCTGCACATTTATGAACTGCCAAAATCGTGTCCTCTGCTCTAGAAATGGACTAAAGATGCTGTACTGGAATTGTAGAGGAATCTCCGGTCGTAAAGAGGAACTACATAAACACTTAGAGGAAGTCGATATATTTATAGGCGTAGAATCTAATCTTAAAAGTCCTAAAAAATTTGATCTCTCCGGTTTTCACACATACAGAATTGACAGAACACATAGACTTGGAGGCGGTCTTATTTTTTTGGTAAGGCAAAATCAAAAATTTGAGCCTATTAGTAACCTTTGCTGTATTACTGATAATCTGGAAACAGGAGTGATCAAATTATGTGATCTCTCCACTACCTTAATCATTGCTGCCTGCTACAGGGTTCCTGGTCGCGCTGTTTCTCAGACAGAATGGAGCCAGTTTTTTTCCTCTCTAAATACACATGGTCCCAGTCTTATCTTTGGCGATTTTAACTCCCATCGTACTGTATGGAACTGTACGCATACCGATATCAATGGAATCAAGCTCCTAAACTCCATAAACGACTCCGATTTAATTTTAGTCAACCATAACACACTTACACACATTGACTTTCATCGAAGCAGTTTATCTAACATAGATCTCGTTCTTTGCTCGCCTGTCCTTTATGATCTGGTCAAACTCAACGTGCTAGAGGATACCTGGGGGTCAGATCACCTCCCTGTAAGTATTAACCTCCTAGTCGACAAAACACGTTACATCAAAGAACAACGACGACTGTCATCCAAAAAGACAAATTGGACTCAATATATCGCTTTAATGGAACAATCTTATTCTAAATTCCTTAACCCTCCATATGACTCACTTGATACCATCAGCAAATATACTTTCTTCGTCAATATAATAACGGAAGCTATTATAAACAGCACACCCTCTCCCAAATGTGTAAATATCAAACAGCACAGGAACCCTGTCCCGTGGTGGAACACAGAGTGCGAAAAGCTCATCCGCCTCAGAAAAGCGGCTCTGAAAAAGTGGAAATTCTCACGAAAGTTATGTGATTTCATAGAATTTAAGAAACGCAAAGCAGCGGCGAGGAGATACATCAGAAAACGCAAAGTTGATGATTTTCGCACCTTTGCTGCTAGTATTAATCTTGATACGGATCCGTCCTATGTGTGGAAAAAATGTAGGCTTCTCAAGAACAAATGGGCAAATACTGAACCCCCTAGGGGATCTTCTTCTATGCGTTCTGCCAAAATCTATGAGGCAATCATTAAGATCAGTCCACCATGGGTCCCTATCAAGCCTTACACCTTCTACGGTAACTCAAATCAAAATGATCTTATATTTGGTTCACCTTTCACCCTGGTGGAGTTCGACTATGCTCTCAACACTTGCAGCCCTAAAGCATCCCCTGGTCCCGATAAAATTGAGTATTCTTTCATAACGCAGCTCCCTTTCAAAATTAAACTTATTTTGCTGGATATTTATAATGATATGTATATAAATAGCAGATTTCCCTTATCTTGGAAAGACAGTACTACCTTTTTTATTGACAAAAGTGATGGTATTGGTGTACGTCCTATTTCCCTCACATCCTGTATGTGTAAAATTTTTGAGAAAATGATTAAGCACAGGTTGCAATGGTGGTTGGAGTCCATGAGGTTTTTTCCCTCCTCACAAGCTGGTTTCAGAGCGGGTAGATCCTGTGCTGACAATCTTACACTCCTTGCCTTGACTATTGAAGAAGCTTTTGCCAATAAAGAAGAAGTCCTTGCTTGCTTCCTAGACGTAAAGGGTGCATTTGATCATGTTCTCCCTGATATCCTTGTTGGGATAGGTTGTTGTAGGAACTACACTTCTTGTGGGGTGACAAATCTTTCTTTATTTTTCCGATGTTCTCGGATAGAGCGCGCAAAACCAAGTGTGTTCTTCTTAGCTCGTCTCCATGTCGACCCCTCGGTTGCACTGGCAAAATTGTTAAACAACCCTGATTGGTTAACCCCACGCGTTGGGCCTTTCCAATCAGGGCCGTTTATTTTTCCCAAATCACCGCCTATTTCTTACGCCCACGGCGTGCTTGTTTTCGAAACGGCGTGGTGATTGAGGGGGACGACGTTGCGCCCTCACTGCAAGATTTCCTTCGGACCACCCGCGCTGGGCCCACTTGGCGAAACTCCGATGGGTACGCGTCGAGTGTCCTCTGGAAATCCCTAATTTACGACGGTCTCTATTTGCTGTTGAGGGACTTAGGAAAAGAATTTACTAAACGCCTTCGATACGCGAGTCTGGAAAATATCTTCCTCAAAAACAGCTTCGACGAACGAGAGTCGTAAATTACGTGGGCCGTTTGCACGAGAGAAACTTTCCCATGTGCACACGACCGGTCGCTACATCCT